GCTTCCAGTTAGAATTTGTACGAATTATCGAGTAAACGAACACCCCTAAAATTTATCGACAGACACTCAAAGAGATTGAGATCCCATTCAAATGAAATGGTGGACGTCAGTTTCCTGTGTGTCTAACTAGGGGTACATAAGATCGGACAAGGAGACTTCTTTTGACAACAATTAGACAATAAACTGAGGAGTTTTTGCGGTATTTTGATTTGAATCTCCTTAAATTACCAGTCCAATTATGCCTTTTGACAGTAAACTTAATTATCAAATGGACTTACTGCTCTAAAAAATGTTTAAAACTAAAACATTTTAAATATAACTTCATTATCAAATCTAAACAAATGAATAAAAGAATCCCCTCATTTATTCACATAGGAAATTCACAACTAAATTATTTTAAGGGTTATCAGCATAACCTCATAGAGGGGAATTAGAACATTTGACGACGTACCAAAAAAAAAAAAAAAACATCAGACAAATCACGTGGGATTAAAGCCCTTATGAACTTTACTTTCAAATTTCTAACAAATCTGATTAAGGAAATTATTTATTTATTTGAAAAATAGAATCAAAATATTCTATTTTTATACAACGAAATTACGTTGTCGGCTGAGTTTATGTTATTTAAAAGAAAAACACGTGTTTATGGATTTTTTGGTGTTTTTTTTTTTTTTTCAAATATAGTTAATAGCATCGTAGCAAATCGAAATATTCTACAAAATAATTCAAACAATTCTCTTACAGATCTTAAAAAACATCGAGAATCTAAATCTTACCTAAACGCCAGGTATTCAAATATATTGTAATCACATTTTAGGGTTAAAATCGAGCTTTGTTTGAGTTTGTGCAAAAATCTTCAACACAGCATCATTTTGGAAGGATGACGTCAAAGACAAAAATATTCTTCATCAAATTTTCATTCAATATCAAAAAATATTTGCATTAATGTTCCCACAAAAATCGAAAAAAATCCCTATTTATACCCTACACCACAAGGTGGTTATCCAGATGAAATTTTGCACAGATCATTTGTTTGGCCCAAGGACGAGCCCTTTTGAAATTGGAGATAATCGGTCAAAATTTAGATATAGCTCCCATATATATCTTCGTCCGATTTGCCTTTTATTGGGCACCAAACGTGTAATATCTGCCCGAATAGTATGGAATTTTGCACATACAACCAAATTAGGTCTGAAAATAAGTATGCCAAATTTGGTGAAGATCGGTTCAGATATAGCTATAGCTTCAATATATATTGTTCATCCGATTTGTTATGTTTGACCTCCGCAGCCGTAATATGCACTCTGTAACAACAATATTTGGGGAAATATATCAAATACAGCTCAGAAATACATTTGCTAAATTTTATCGAGATCGGTTCAGATTTGGATATATCTCTCATATATAACTTCGTCTGATTTACCTTTTATTGTGCACCAAACGTTTAATATTGGCCCAAATGGGATGGAATTTGGCACATACGACTGAACTGAGTCTAGAAGCTAGTATGCCAAATTTGGTGAAGATCGGTGCAGATATAGCTATAGCTCCCATATATATTGTTCATCCGATTTGTTGTATTTGTTACCCACAGCCGTAATATGCACTCCGTAACAACGATATTCAGGGAAATATATCAAATACAGCTCAGAAAAATCTTTACCAATATATATAGCTTCCATATTTATCTTTATCTGATTTCAAATTAATTTTGCACCAATGAACACTACAAGTCCGAATTTAAAAGATACAAATGCTTCGGCATATTTTGTCCTTTGAACTTTAATATTTTGTAATTATTTATAATTATAACCATAGCGTGTATGATTGAATTCTCCCATAAACACTTTCAATTGTTATGAGGAGCTCTACTTAATTAGCAAAGTGTTGTAGGGTATCATAAAGTCGGTCCTGCCCGACTTTCTTTACTGGTTAATTTATATAAAAATTCCTGAGGGAAAATTTTCCCTCTTTTTCATTTTTACTTTGCGATGTAAACTTTCAAAACGCCTATACATGTTTCTCCTATTATTATACCCCCCACCATACATAGTATGGAGGATATATTAAGTTCGACATTCCGTTTGTAATTTATAGAAACAATAATTTTAGACCTAACAAAGTATATATTCTTAATCAGCGTAAAATTCTAATACGATTTAGCCCTATCCGACCGTCCATCCGTCTGTTATAATCACGAATTAAGATGCGAAGCTAAAATTTATCACAGATCAGTCTTTTGTCTACAGGCAGGTCAAGTTCGAAGATGAGCTATATCGGTCAACAATATCGATATCGGTATAGCCCCGATATTTAGTATTTTGATAATTTTCGCCAAATTTCCAATGGAATTGTATGAAAAGCGATATTTGGTATTTTGATGATATTAGCGACATTTTTGACCGGAATTGTTTCAAATTTTATATTTAAAGTTCGTAAATCGTACTACGGCCTAATCTTATTTTCAAAATTACTTATGCAAAAATTACTTATAACGATTTTCCTTTGGGCGGTATCTTTCGACGAAATTTTTTTTTGGAATTTTTTCCAATTCCTTTCAAATTGTAGGGAGATATTAAAATTTCGGCCCGGGCGAACTGCTTTTTTACTTGTTAATTCTACTTTCATAATTTGCTGGATTTTCCCTGCAATTGATGAAAAAATAGAATTTTGTCGTTATGGAACGATTAAGATTTACTTCAAAGCATATTTTGGCTGCACCTAGGACAAGTATGAATATCGTCATTATCGCGTCTTTTTATACCCTCCCTATGGAGGGTATATTAGCTTTGTCACTCCGTTTGTAACTCCTCGAAATATTCATGATAAATCCTACATATATTCTGGATCAGCGTAAAATTTCTAAGACGGTAACGGTAACTCCTGAAATTCCGTATTTTAATGATTTTAGCGACTATATTCACCCGAATTGTTTGAAATTTCGTGTTTAAAGATCTTAATGGGTACTACGGCCTATTTGCCTTTTATTGGGCACCAAACGTGTAATATCTGCCCGAATAGTATGGAATTTTGCACATACAACCAAATTAGGTCTGAAAATAAGTATGCCAAATTTGGTGAAGATCGGTTCAGATATAGCTATAGCTTCAATATATATTGTTCATCCGATTTGTTATGTTTGACCTCCGCAGCCGTAATATGCACTCTGTAACAACAATATTTGGGGAAATATATCAAATACAGCTCAGAAATACATTTGCTAAATTTTATCGAGATCGGTTCAGATTTGGATATATCTCTCATATATAACTTCGTCTGATTTACCTTTTATTGTGCACCAAACGTTTAATATTGGCCCAAATGGGATGGAATTTGGCACATACGACTGAACTGAGTCTAGAAGCTAGTATGCCAAATTTGGTGAAGATCGGTGCAGATATAGCTATAGCTCCCATATATATTGTTCATCCGATTTGTTGTATTTGTTACCCACAGCCGTAATATGCACTCCGTAACAACGATATTCAGGGAAATATATCAAATACAGCTCAGAAAAATCTTTACCAATATATATAGCTTCCATATTTATCTTTATCTGATTTCAAATTAATTTTGCACCAATGAACACTACAAGTCCGAATTTAAAAGATACAAATGCTTCGGCATATTTTGTCCTTTGAACTTTAATATTTTGTAATTATTTATAATTATAACCATAGCGTGTATGATTGAATTCTCCCATAAACACTTTCAATTGTTATGAGGAGCTCTACTTAATTAGCAAAGTGTTGTAGGGTATCATAAAGTCGGTCCTGCCCGACTTTCTTTACTGGTTAATTTATATAAAAATTCCTGAGGGAAAATTTTCCCTCTTTTTCATTTTTACTTTGCGATGTAAACTTTCAAAACGCCTATACATGTTTCTCCTATTATTATACCCCCCACCATACATAGTATGGAGGATATATTAAGTTCGACATTCCGTTTGTAATTTATAGAAACAATAATTTTAGACCTAACAAAGTATATATTCTTAATCAGCGTAAAATTCTAATACGATTTAGCCCTATCCGACCGTCCATCCGTCTGTTATAATCACGAATTAAGATGCGAAGCTAAAATTTATCACAGATCAGTCTTTTGTCTACAGGCAGGTCAAGTTCGAAGATGAGCTATATCGGTCAACAATATCGATATCGGTATAGCCCCGATATTTAGTATTTTGATAATTTTCGCCAAATTTCCAATGGAATTGTATGAAAAGCGATATTTGGTATTTTGATGATATTAGCGACATTTTTGACCGGAATTGTTTCAAATTTTATATTTAAAGTTCGTAAATCGTACTACGGCCTAATCTTATTTTCAAAATTACTTATGCAAAAATTACTTATAACGATTTTCCTTTGGGCGGTATCTTTCGACGAAATTTTTTTTTGGAATTTTTTCCAATTCCTTTCAAATTGTAGGGAGATATTAAAATTTCGGCCCGGGCGAACTGCTTTTTTACTTGTTAATTCTACTTTCATAATTTGCTGGATTTTCCCTGCAATTGATGAAAAAATAGAATTTTGTCGTTATGGAACGATTAAGATTTACTTCAAAGCATATTTTGGCTGCACCTAGGACAAGTATGAATATCGTCATTATCGCGTCTTTTTATACCCTCCCTATGGAGGGTATATTAGCTTTGTCACTCCGTTTGTAACTCCTCGAAATATTCATGATAAATCCTACATATATTCTGGATCAGCGTAAAATTTCTAAGACGGTAACGGTAACTCCTGAAATTCCGTATTTTAATGATTTTAGCGACTATATTCACCCGAATTGTTTGAAATTTCGTGTTTAAAGATCTTAATGGGTACTACGGCCTATGACAAAAAATTACTTGTACAGGTACACGTCTTCGTATAGCCCCCGTATAAAGGTATAACGGTATTTTTCGTAGTATTTTGAACATTTTCAAGTTCCTTCCAAATGGTGGAGGGCATTAAAAGTTTGGCGCGGCCGAACTTAGATGCTTTTTACTGGTTTTCTTATAATACTGGTAAAAGGCTTTCATCGAAATACATCCACTAAAATTCAATCGAAATTTGCTCAATATCGAATACTAGATTCCAGACGTTAATTAAAGTTAGATTTTGTTTGGTTAGGCTTTAAAAGAAGCTCTCTCCTGGGAACACCAAGCCCATAGAACCACTTTTCCATTGAAATAATATTCCGCTTTAATGTTTTTTGTAACAACATCTTAAAATTAAAATAAATCCACTTACGAAAACTACATTAGTTGCAATACTATATAGATTCCAACTGCTAAGCCAACGTTTCAGAATAGTTCGCTTTCTTAGAGGTAAATTTAACGAACACTGTATTTCAGAAATATCTTGCCATGTTACCAATTGAGGACGACAAATCAAAAGGGCATTCATGGCGGCACGATAACCACTTTGCACGGCACCCCCCAGTAGGCCACGATAACAAGTCCCAGCCGAAGCCGATGATGACCAAATAACACGATTCCAGGGTGTAGTTCGAGGTGCATGATCCAGCGCCGGAAGTTCGAATGTATGCTGGGAATATTCCAAAGGTAGCAGCATTTCCTCACCAAAGGCCTCTGCCAATTTATGTAATATCAATGATTTCACCAAAGGTTCAATACCTTCTTCGTGAAGATAATGGCCATAGATGGTATTGTTGTGATATTGATGGGCCATCAAAAAAGGTTCCAACCACAAATATTGTCCCGTATAACCAGACTTCTGCCAATATGCTTCTCTATAGCTGGCCAGGAAACTGGTTAGAACATATTTTGTTTTATTCTCATTGCGTGGAGCCCGTTGCAGCTCCAGCGGCAGTGGGGGATGGAATTGTATTTCTTGTATTTGTTGCCAGGGAATTGCAAGGATAATAGTCTGGGCAGTATATTTTATATTTTGAGAATCAAGGACTTCTACATGCTCGCGATATTGAAATATTTCCGATACTTTGTGTCCATAAATGATATGAATATATTCCATGTGCTCCAGCATTTTGGTTATTAGCTCCTGAGTGGAAAATTCCAATAAACCATTTGGTATTTCAATGAATCTGCAAGAGGATGGGGAAATCGCATTACATTACAGATATGAAAGCACACACATATACCTACAGGTTAATTAATCTGTCAATGCCACCACTTGTCCTACAAACATTGATAAAATCATTAACAACGATATCGCAGGCCTCACAACCACTTATCAAGAGAACCAAGTTCAACATAAACTTGCGGCACATTCGAAAAAATAAACGTCTACATATGTGAGAGTGCATTGAGGTGCTTTGGAATCTAGAACATAGAAATCGATTTGAATATTCTCCATCTCTTCTTAAAATTCTTACCTCTTCAATTCCCCTGCGCGATATTCCAACATAAATTCCAATTCATCGATATAACGTTTCAGTTCATATTTGGCTAATGCGGCAAATATTCCTCCATCGAGTTGCCAATATCTTTTTAGCGATTGAGACTGTTCAATATTTCTTCTCCGGATAGAAACATTCAAATCTTTCAGAAGAGTATAAATATGATATTGATCCTCCGTTATCCATTTGGCGCCCAACTCTCCCAAATGATTGAAACGTAACTGGCCACCAATAACATTAGTGGCTTCCATCAATGCTACGTGTAGACTGGGATCCCTTTGATGAATTCTCAAGGCAGAGGTCAGGCCAGATAGGCCACCACCAATAATGAGAATATCAAATTTATTCCCCGAATTTCTTTGACTCATTATTTCGAAGGAGAAAAATTTTTGATTTTTTGTTTTGTTTTCAAAAATGTCAAGGACAAACAACAAAACAGTTAAAAAGCAGTAAGTTCGGCCGGGCCGAACTTTGAATACCCTTCACCATTTGGAACGAATTTGGAAATAAAATCCTTAAAAATTATGTTAAAAATTTTAAAAATACCGAATATAGCCGTTATATTGATGTCTATACGACGTGGACCTACATGGGCATTGTTTGTCATAAGCCATTACCACATTCAAATTCGAAACTTAAAATAAACGGTGAATAATGTAGCTAAAATCATCAAAATATCGTATATAGGGAGGTAGCGTTATATCGGAGCTGTGCGAAGACCTGAACCAGCATAGACAATTTTCTGCCATAGGCTATAGCATCCATTACGAACTTCAAATACGCGTCTCAAACAATTTCGGTAGGTATTGTACCTAAACTCGTAAAAATACCGAATATAGGGAGGTACTGGTATGTGGGGCCTATACGAAGACCTGGACCTGCATAGACAATTTTCTGTCACAGACTGTAGTTACCATTACGAGCTCCAAATACGTAATTTGAAATAATTCCGGTGAATAATGACTCGAAAATCATCAAAATATTTTATCAACCTACTTCAATTACTTCGGAAGCTTGAGTTATTTCCACAGATGGACAGATATGAAGATGGACATCGCTAAATCGTTTTAGAGTTTTACGCTGATGCAGAATATATGCACTTTGTAGGGTCTATCATGAAAATTTTGAGGTGTAACAAATAGAATGACAAAGCTAATATACCCTCCATAGAATCGATTTGAATGTTTCTCTCCGGAGAAGAAATATTGAACAGTCTCAATCGCTAAAAAGATATTGGCAACTCGATGGAGGATTTTTTTTTTTATAAAATTCAAGAACCAAGAGCTTTTAAAATCATTTTTTCAAGGACCAAGGGACCAATAATCCGAAATTTTTTTTTATAAAATTCAAGACCAAGAGACCAATTATCGTGGATTTAAAAATATATATATTTTTTCAAGGACCAAAAATCTTTTAAAATATTTAATTTTTTTTTTTCAAGGACCAAACGACAAATAGTCGCTTAAGAATATTTTTAAGACCCAAGAGACCTATAATCGTGGATTTTTTAAAAATATTTCTTCAAGAAGCAATGGACCCAATAATCGTGTATTTTTTAAAAATATTTTTTCAAGATGCAATGGACCCAATAATCGTGTATTTTTTAAAAATATTTTTTGAAGGACCAAAACACCGTGAAATTTTGGATTTTAAAAAAAAAAATTACAGGGGACTAATAATCGTGAATTTTTTAAAAATATCTTTCAATGACCGAGGGATAATCGTGGATTTTTAAAAATCATAAACCAAGGGACAAATAATTGTAGATTTTTTTACAAAATATTTTTCAACAGATCAATAATCGTGTATTTAAATCCTTTTAGAGTTTTACGCTGATCCAGAATATATGCACTTTGTAGGGTCTATCATGAAAATTTCGAGGAGTAACAAATAGAATGACAAAGCTAATATACCCTCCATAGAATCGAGGAGGATATAAAAATACTCTTACAAAAACAGGCTGTAGTTCCGCAAAATATTACAATTTTTTTATGTACACACTATAACTACACCACTACTACAACATGTACATAGCATACTTTCAGGCTGAACATGGAATATAATTTTATATGAGAGTTAATCGAACGTAACGGTAACGGTAACGTAGTGTAGAAACATAAGCAATTACCAAGTAAAATTGAACTATTTAAAAATATTTTCCAACGGTCCTTGGAACAATAATCGCCAGTTATGGTGGATATTTTGAGAAAACATAGAATTTTCCACAACTGCACAATAGCCAGGTGCAGTAAAATTATAAGAAAATATGCAGGAAATTAGGAAAAAATGCTAATTGTTTCAGAAATGAACAAGGTTTTTTTCTTAACAAAAATTGATGCCTTGCGAGCATAAAAATTTCATTTGCTGAGAGAGCCACAATAAAAATGAAGCATGAAGGGAGATTTTGACGCGGATTGGAGAAGTGTTAAATTAATAGTAAATAAACCAAACACTTTTGGTACATACATTTTTAATGTAGTTTTCATGAAAACTGTTGGTTTATTCTGAAATTGTTAGTCAAATTTTGTGTAGAATAATTTTTCTTTTGACACCATTCTCCTAAAATGATTTTTTTTGTTAATTTCAATCGTCAACTCGAAAAAAGTCCGAGAAAAATTTTATAAAAAAAATACGGAATATTTTCGATTTTTTTTTTGGTACACATATAAAAAATTTTGCAATACAGTTTAATAGTCGTGGATTTTTTAAAAATAATAATGTTTTCAAGGACCATGAGACCATTAAAAGTGATTTCTTTAAAGTGATTTCTTTTCAAGGACCAAGGGACCAATAACCTCTGATTTTTTCATAAAAATATTTTTCAAGTACCAAAAGATCAATAATCGTGGATTTCTAAAAATTATTTTTTGAAGGACAAAGAGACCAGAAATAGTTGTTTTCTTAAAATTATTTTTGCAGCGACCATTAATTGTGGATTTTTTTTAAATATTTTTTTAAGGATCAATAATCGTGGATCTCTTAAAAATATTTTTTTAAAGGATGAAGGGACCAATAATCGGGGATTTTTTTTTATAAAATTCAAAGACCAAGGGACCAATAATCGGGGATTTTTTTTTTATAAAATTCAAGGACCAAGAGACCAATAATTGGGGATTTTTTTTATAAAATTCAAGGACAAAGAGACCAATAATCGGGGACTTTTTTCATAAAATTCAAGAACCAAGAGACCAATTATTGTGGCTTTTAAAATCATTTTTTCAAGGACCAAGTGACCAATAATCCGGAATTTTTTTTTTTAATTCAAGACCAAGAGACCAATTATCGTGGATTTAAAAATATATATTTTTTTTCAAGGACCAAAAATCTTTTAAAATATTTAAAATTTTTTTTCAAGGACCAAACGACAAATAATCGCTTAAGAATATTTTTAAGACCCAAGAGACCTATAATCGTGGATTTTTTAAAAATATTTTTTCAAGAAGCAATGAACCCAATAATCGTGTATTTTTTAAAAATATTTTTTCAAGGACCAAAACACCGTGAAATGTTGGACTTTTTAAAAAAAATTTTACAGGGGACTAATAATCGTGGATTTTTTAAAAATATTTTTTCAATGACCGAGGGATAATCGTGGATTTTAAAAAAATATTTTTTCAAGGGATCAATAATTGCGAACTTTTAAGGATCAATAATCGTGGATTTAAAAAAATCATAAAACAAGGGACAAATAATTGTAGATTTTTTTACAAAATATTTTTCAACGGACCAATAATCGTGTATTTAAAAAATAAGGACCGATAATCGTGAATCAAAAAAAAAAAAAAAAAAAAAACATTATCATAAACCAAGAGACAAATAATCGTGGATTTTTAAGAACATTTTTTCATAAACAAAAGGACAAATAATCGGTGATTTAAAAAAAAATATTTTTCAAGGACCAATGGATTGATAATCGTGTTTTTTTTTTTAATTTCAAGGACAAAGATACCAATTATTGTGGATTTTAAAAAATATATATTTTTTTGAAAAACCAAAGATATTAAAAAATATTTAAAAATATTTTTTAAAGTATTTAAAAATATTTTTTTAAAGACCGAAAATATTTCAAAAAAAAATATTAATATTTTATTCTTGGATTTCATTATTTTTTCAGGGACCAAGGGACAGATAATCGAGGATTTTTTAAAATATTTTTTCAAGGACTAAGAGACCAATATTCGTGGATTTTTTAAGAAAAATGTCCAACCAGTAATCTACCCAATTGGGAGTCAACCGTATATGTTAGGAAAAAATGCCATACATATAATCCCATTTTTAAGCTATGCCTTATTTATTTATTCCATTAGAAAAGAGTCTTATTTCTTTAGAACATAAACACTGAAAATGTTGATGAAAAATAATGTCAAACTTTACAAATTTTCCCATTTGTTGAATTGTTTTTTTTTTTAATATTTTACATAATACTTTGAGATAGTGATTTATATTCTATGTGGTTATTGTGTTGATAGAAAATGAATCTAAATGTGGGTTATCAATGTACTTTGAGTATATATGTATGTATGTAGGTTTGTATATATGTACATACATATATGTGTAAATTGAATACAATGAGTCTAGTTGAAATTAATTAATCGAGAACATAAATAATTTAAACAAATACAATTTTAAATAAATTCGTGGATTGTCTTTGATATGGTTAACATCTCTCGAAATTGACATTGTCTTTCTAAAATTTTCTGCTAAAAAATTACAGTATAAAAATGTATATTTAATACTAGGAGAATATTATAGTGGTTTGATATATATATTTTTGGGTGTCCTGAATAATTAACGGCAGATTTTTTCGTAAAAATTTTAATTTTTAAAAAATTGTTAAAAATTTTAGTTTTTAAAAATTGTTAAAAATTGTAGTTTTTAAAAATTTTAATTTTTAAAAATTGTTAAAAATTTTAATTGTTAAAAATTTTATTTTTTGAAAATTGTTAAAAATTTTAATTTTTGAAAATTGTTAAAAATTTTAATTTTTGTTAACAATTTTTAAAAATTTTAGTTTTTAAAAATGTTTAAAAATTTTAATTTTTAAAAATTGTTAAAAATTTTAGTTATTAAAAATTTTAATTTTTGAAAATTGTTAAAAATTTTAATTTTTGTTAACAATTTTTAAAAATTAAAATTTATAACAATTTTTAACAATTTAAATTTTTAAAAATTGTTAAGAAATTAAAAATCAAATTGATTTGAATTTTTAAAAATGTTTTAAATGATTTAAAATATACATATTTTTTTAAATCATCCGAAACCAAAACACATTTTTCAAATTAAATTTTTTCACTTTTACTTCAGGACACCCTAATATGCATATGACATATTTAAAAAATTGTTCTTATAAGTACATTTTACAACACAA